AGGGGAGAGAGAGAGAGAGAGAGAGAGAGAGAGAGAGAGAGAGAGAGAGAGAGAGAGAGAGAGAGAGAGAGAGGGCAATCTAACAGAATGACTGACCGGGCGAGTGGCAGACAGACAGACAGAAAGACTGATCGACCTACAGACAGGATGACTGAAGAGCGTGCAGGCGGATGGACAGACGCACGGGCGACTGTAAATAAGGACAGGCAGGTGGGGCGAGGTGGGCAGGCGGGCAGGCCTGCAGGTGGGAAGGTGGCAGGGTGGGCGGGCAGGCAGGTGGGAACGTGGCAGGGCGGAAGGGCAGGCGAGTGGGTGGATGGACTGGTGGACAGATGGAAGGGCACAGAGATAGAGAAAGGGAAGACCAGGGAGTATGAGAGTCACCCCAAATTTGGCTCCAAGCAGGCTGCCTAACAGACTGGCAGGCAGACAGACAGACAGACTGAGTGGCTGACTGAGTGATCGACAGATTGACCGACCATCGCACGGAAGGACAAACTGAGAGGCCGGCATGGGTCGGTTGCCAAGTAGGCAGGCACTCAGGCCGGCAAGCGGTCGAGGTGAGCTGGTAGGTCGGCAGGCACATGGGAGGTGGCAGGGTGAGCGGGTGGGTGGGTGGGCAGACGGACCAACACAGACAAAGAGAAAGAGAGGAGCAGAGAAAGTGAGGAGCATAACTCACCCCAAAATCGACTCCAAGAATTGCAACATCTCTCTTGTTCAAGATCGGAGAGTTGGGGGAAGAGAGACAAGGAGAGAGGGAAAGAGAGGAACAGGGAGTATGATATAAACTCACCCCAAAATTGGCTCCGAGTGTTGCCACATCTGTTTTGTTCACGTGCCGTATTTGAGTAAGAGCACTTGTGAGCTGGATTCACCAACCATACACTAGTTAGGTATCAGGTAATGCTCATTCCAAACATACACCACAAGCAATGCATATGTATGGAGACCTTGTAAAAAATGCAAGTAAGTTAGAATAACAAGAAAAGCAGTGCGCATGATCAGAAATACAAATGCAGTCGAAAAATGAAGAAAAAAAATCATCCAATCAAATGCGCTGTTTGCTGCAAGGGCCCGATCCAGAGCTTTCTTTCCAATAATTACAATCAAAGGAGAGAGAGAGAGAGAGAGAGAGAGAGAGAGAGAGAGAGAGAGAGAGAGAGAGAGAGAGAGAGAGAGAGAGAGAGAGGGAGGGGAGCGTTTGTAAGGGCAACTCAGCTAATACCCCCCACTACAGGCCCCCCGCCCCCCCGCTCCGTCAGAACACGTACAGAGGAGATGGGAATAGCCTCACGACAAGCAAGACCTGCCTGTCCCCCACACCTCGGGGCATGTCCTCACTCCAGGACTTTCATGGATGCACCTGACTGCAATTAGGGGCATAGTACCGACGTACTAACCATAAAGTGTGGCCCTCGTCATCACCGCACAACTCTCTCCCAATCTCTCAGCCACTCTTCCTTGTTCTTCCCCCTCCTCCTCCTCCTCCTCTTATACTGAATCTCACCCTGGCTTTCACCCCAACTCCATGTCAATCAAGCCGTTGATCGACGAGATTAGGGTCTGGGTCCCTGTAGGAACACCATTAACCAAAATTACGTCTTTGTGAGGGGGTTCATTTACTTGACTCTGAAAAGGAAAAAACGTAACAGGCCTCGTTCGTTTGTTCCTTTTAGGCCCCAAAATTCGGCCCCCTAATGACTCCCATTACTTTTGCTTAAGCGTGATAGTACTGTTCGGCCATTCGTCTTTTCATTTTTCTGAATTTCTTTACGGAATACTTTTGCAGAAGCTTTGCCTTCGCTCAAAATATGTTGATGTCCGTAAAAGAATTCAGAAATCATGAATGTGGCTGACACAGCCCAGGAAATAGAGTTTGAAATTTGAATGCCTTGGTGAACGTATGTGACAGGCCTTTCCTGAACGTATGTGACCAATCTTACGGCTACATTCAGACAAGAGAAAGCCCTCAGAGTTAAGAGAATGGACAAGAGCACCGCAGCGTGCATGCATACCGTACCCTTGAGACGTAATCATGGTCGGTCCGCTCCTGTATGCTGTCCGCTGACTTGTGCTCAAATGCCTTTATGGTCTCCAAGTATCGGGCACATTCCTCTTTACTGCGCGCGCGCACACACACACACACACACACACACACACACACACACACACACACACACACACACAGAGCAGAGCCATCCCAGACATAGTAATAACCATCCATCCATCTATCCATCAATTGCAGCAAACAAAAACACCTTTAAAACTATGTTGGGCCGTCGCCCGGCCAGGCACGCCCGGCCCAGTTGGGCAGAGGGGGGGTTGCCCGGCAAAACCAGACGGGTCAAAAAAGAGGCAAGGATCCCAAAAAAAAAAAAAAAAAGACTTCAGGCCAGGACTGCGCTTGGCCCAAGCAGTCAGAATCCGGTCTTAACTTCGGTTTTGGTGATGGGTCATCCAGGGGGGGTTGGGGGGTATAAACAGTGACCAAAGGGCTTAAAAGGGTACATTTGGAGTCTTTTGGGACTCGTATTTTCTCATTTATTTTTATCTTGAAATTAACAAGGAATTTCGAGGTGGCCCTGAGCCAAAAGTCGTTTGTATTGCACTTCTACACAACATTTTTTTTTCGAATTTTTTTGATTTTTTTTTTTTTCTATTTTTTTTTAATATTATGCGCTGGGATCGCCCGGGCCCGGCCCGGTCCGGGCCGCCCGGGAGGGTACCTGGGAGACCTTACCCCAGCTGGGCCGCCCAGGGACTAACACAGCTTTAAAATTAAAAATTAAAAAATCCGTTTTTTTAACTGTTTTCTTTTTTTTCACAAGGTGTTTTTGATTTGCTGTTGGATCAACTTGGATGTTCTATTGGTCCCCATTTTCCAGCGTCCGTATACTTTGGGCTTAATTGAGCTGAACGAGAACGAAATGTTTCTTT